TAAAAATAAAAATGGCCGCTGCGTTGTCCTGCCTCAGCCGATCGTCGGCGCAGCGCGGCAGTCAAGATGCGGATCGGTCGACAGAGGAAGCCTTTGTCGACCGCTCCTGTAAACCTCGTTCCACGAGGCATAAGGGAGCGGTCGACAAAGGCTTCCCCTGTTGACCGATCCGCGTCTTGACTGCCACACTGCGCTGACAATCAGCTGCGCTGGCACAGCGTGGCGGCCATTTTTATTTTAATGACGCTGGGGATATTTAAATCCCCGCTTCACTGACTATGTTGGGTAGCCTATTTTACATGCCTCTGTCGGCAGAAGCATGTAGTCTAGACATACCCTCTGGTACACAGGACTACTTGTTTTTATTTGTGAATAATGCAATATTGCAGTGCTCAAGTGCAACTAAGAGCTATCATTTGAGTTCCCAACTTGAAAAACATGAAAGATTATTTAGGCACATCATCTATATGTATATTTTAGAGAGTTTGTGCTTTCGTCCTTCCATGAGTCTGTTTATTGAAGAACTCCTAAACAGTTAGAGCTAAGACCACCAAATTTGGTACACAGCTGTCCTCTTGTACTGACTAAAAGCAAGATTGGGATTTGGGTGTGCCAAGAGAATAGCATAGGCCTGAAATCCGATTGTTTTCTGTAATATGGAAAGGAAAGAATCTGACAGCAGGGACAGTTATAGTGCAGAGTGACCACAGGGGGACGGCCCACCAGGAAAAGAGTGGCCAGCTAGGGCTGGGTCTCTCCATATTGCCAACCACCAGTCATGGATAAATGGCCCTCGTGTCCCAAATCCCTCCCCCCAAACCCTCCGTTGTATTGGCAGATGGGGGAAGGAGAAAACCCTGCCAGCTAGCCACCCCCCCAGGAGCATCACCAGGACTGGCCATTACAGCCCTCCTCCCCCCGAGGAGCTGACAGCCAGGGCCATGCAACGCACCCTATCCCCACTGGAAGAACTGCCAGGGGTGCCCCCAAGATCTTCCAGCCTTCTTCCCTGAGCTCCCCACCTATCCTATCTCCTGCCCTGCACCCTCTTATACCTCCGTAGCCCCCTGCCCTGACTCCTCTGCCCTGAGCCCTTCCCACATCCAATCACATGCCCTGACTCCTGCACCCCCAGGCTGCCAGCCCCCTGCCCTGAAGGTCTGAGCAATGCCCACTGAGTTTTCTACTTTCCCTATTTTACTGTACTCTGAATACTGGGAACACACCAATGTGAGAATCATAAAACATCTCTCAGGTGGCTTTTCTGTAGTATAAATGAATACTTGCATTTAACTAGAAATACATCAAAGTAATTAACATTCACACATTTAATTCAATAAAATATATATTAAATAACTAGAAAATGTTATTATTAGAATCTGCTTTCCAATATAGTTTTACTTATAGCGAATTTAACT